AGTAAAGTAATGCTTCATTTATTATTAAATTAAAGTATAATAGAATAATTAAAATAGTATAAAAAGTTAATTTAGATCATTCTTTATTTAACATAAAAAATTATAAAGATTGGTTAAAATTTGAATGATTTTTATTAGAAGCAATTATTTTTTATATTGCTTTTTGCACCGGCCCATAATATGATTTAATTAGACAAACTCAATTTTTGATTATCATTGTCTGGTGTTCTGTTTCGAATCAATTGTTCAATTGATTCGACTAGTCGAAGATTCTGAATTAATAAATTATTTATTCCATTATTTCTTTATAAACATGGATCTGGATTCTTGTTCTTTATATCTTAAACCGCGTTTTAATCCTGCATTCCACGAATCTTTCCCAAATGTAATACATCTAAGAAACCGGCATAATTGAAAATTTTTCAATATGAATAATGTGATGCGAGTATGTACTTTAATGGCATCTTCCATACCGATTCCAAATGTGTTAAAAAAACTTAATTGTCTGTAATAGATTTTTTTTCTTCTCGAACCTCTAGCTTCTTTTTTCACCTAGCGTTACTTTAAATTGACTGAAATTATTATCATGGATAATCATTTAATAAAATAATAATTCGAATTATTAAGTTAAAACAAGCATACGTTAAAAATACATATTGCAAACTTCTTGTAGCAAAAGACCCAAAACTTCGAAATTATCAAGGTACACTCGGTAGACAAAAGTCTGGAATCGGAAATGATTGATATACAATCATTTTCCGATTCCAGACTTTTGTCTACTGAGTGTAGTTATAAGAAATAAAAATTATAGAAGAGAAACCGAGGGCTCCTATTAATTAATAAAAGAGAATCGTCAATGTCAGCCATCATCAACGAGAACAAAAACCATTAACACAACCACCACCGCAATAGCATACAAAATCTACTTATAGAACGAGACAACGTGAAAGTTGTACATAACATGGCAAGTCATCAGCGTTCCGTGATCAGAATATATTGTCGAGTGAAATTGTTCATTCCACTACCGAGTCGGTGTATTAGTCCTATATATTGAAAGGGATGGTAAGCAAGTTTGATTCATCACAGCAATAATGAGCATCTACGTTGTGCTAGCATATTAGTAGACTCCATTCATAGCTTTAGCACACATGATATGCCTTGGCAAACTCATAGCATGTCATCACAGCTTAGTATACATGATGAGCCATAACAGTCATCACAGCACTTCTGACTAGATGATTTACGACCTCGCCAAGCTAGTCCGCTTATTTCGCTCACACATTAAAACGCAAGCGTAGCAAGACACGAGTGATAGCAATCACCCATTCCGCTAGTTGTTGAGGCCGGATTAAACATCGTATCACTTTTGCACCCCTGACGTGCCTTGGCAAACTAATAGCATGTCATCTCAGCGCCTTAACACACACACTAATAGTTATGTCATCACAGCGCTTTAGCACACATGTCTATCATTACAGGCGCTTCTGCCCTACATAATGTGCCTTGGCAAGCTAGTCCCCTTGCTCACCACCAAAAGCAAGTGATTGAGGCAAATCCCCAATTCGTCTAGTTTATAAGCCTCGGCAAGCTAATAAATAGCCTATCATCATAGCACTATAACACAATCGTCACCGTGCTTTAGCACACATGATGTGCCTTGGCAAGCTAATAGACAGACTAACATCACAGCACTTCAGCCTACATGATGTGTCCCGAACTAATATCACAACGTTCTAATCACAGCGTTCTGAAACTTGCCTTAGCATTTGATTCGCATAATATTTAGCGAGATCCTCGAGGCTCCAATTATCGACCGACATCGGTTTTATCGAAACTAAAAAAGTATATGTATAATAAGAAAGGAATATACGCATAAGTTATAAGCTTTTTTTTAGAGGAAATAAGACAATTTTTTTGTAGTAGTTAAGGAAATTAAACGTTTTAAGTAGTTGCGAGAGGGAGACGGAATTGTACACGTAGATAATTACCTTCTTATTCAAAACAAATATTGAAGAATAAATCCGCGTCAGGAACCCAAATAATTTATGCAAATTTACATGTTACACATGATTTGCGATCTTTGTCTTTCTCCGGCCTTTTAAATTAGGCACCTCCTCACGGGAGGTAGTGAATGCCCCACTCATCGCATTCACCCGTGATTGCATCCGCACTTTGATCCACAAGACATTTTTGGTCTTATAATAACGAAAATGATTTTATTTCGCTTTGTGTGTGTGTTTTATCTAAATGCTTGCTTTTTTATTAACCATCATGTAAACCTTATTTCTCAAAAACTCAGGTTCACCTATGTGTGTGTGTGTGATTCTTATTTCAATAATAGCGAAAATGATTTTATTTCGCTGTGTATGCTTGCTTTTGTTAACCACCCACCACACATAGAATGTGAGCCTTTATTCTATCAGTGAATCGAATTTTAAGGCAGATTTCAATCTATAAATAGAAAGATCTGTATACTTTTCAGCTTGAATTTTATCTTTTCAAAATTATGAAAAAAGAGAAGTATACTCTCATATCGTAAAATAAATTAAATAATTACGACATTGCGATATCGTAATATTTTATTACCTAATATTATTAATATTTCATATCCTGTGATTGGATTTTTGCCCCCTAAAATCACATGACTCGCCACGAAGATCTTTTAACCAAAAAATATTTTAATACCCTAGCCACGGCAAAATAAAGTATTGCCAATCAAATCACAAGATCAATGTGTAATGGAAAAAATTCAAAACAAACGTTTAGCTTGTACATTTCAGATTTTTCTTCAGTGCAAAAATTTTTATTGATTAAATTTCATTTTTATTTAGTAAAAATTTTTGCATTAACTTTACAATTAGAATAACTCTTTCAGAAAAAATCTAAAAAATATATGTTTGAAATTGACTATTTCTTGGATTAATCTGCTGTAATGCAAACTTTGCAATCGTGTCTGCATATTTATATGTCAAGAACATATTATATTATCACCTCATTACTGGATACCCAGATAATACAACACGCTTTTTTTATCGTTCTACATATCCGGTCAACAAACCAGCCAAAGAATAAAAAATTTCGTAGATGTATGCTAGCAGTCTCATCTCATTTTCAACTAACTTTCGTGAACTGTAAATTTTAATTAAACCTGTCGAGCTTGTCGAGTGCAGTTATTAGGCGCGTAGTTTAAGTTTCTCGTAAGTCAAAAGAAAGTGTGCGCGAGAGAATTGTAGCATATTTGCGAGTGGAGGTTTTCCTTTGTTAGAAGGTCTGAGTATTTAAAACATGCGAATAGAAGTTAAAAGAACGAAAAATTCTAGTAAAAATGTTAGAACATTGTCGAAGCATATTTATAACATGGAAAGATCATTATTCTTTAGAAATGAAGAGATTGACTTAATAAAAATGTGCTTCTAACATTTTTTTAGACATTCTCTAGGTTATTAGCATGGGTGACGTTAGTTGCGTTAGTGACCCGCTTGTATGCACAATGCCGATTCTTTGGCATTATGAAGAGTTTTCCATTATCGAAACGTCACGGAATCCATATATGCTATTTGAGCAGGACTATCAATATGTAACCGAATTAGCCGAATTTTAATTTTTCAATTTCAAGTGTAGTGATTGGTTGAATTAGAACAATGCGAATTATATCAATATTACATGTATAATTAGATTTCATGACATTAAGATCATTAAAAGAAATGTCACTTAAGGTTAATCTTTCATTCAAGTATGCGAATGAAATTTTTACTTTTAAAGGAAATTGATTTTTTATCTCGAATTAATCATGATCAATTTTCAAAAGTGGAGGCATGGAACTTTTATTCAATAATCTAAAACAGAAAACTGTCGAAATACCAGCTTCGATGAATAACTCGAACCCGACTACGATGAAAGATTTGGTAAAGTATTTGTGGGTAATACGGCGAACTTAAGTTGATGCTTACTTTTTTGTTCAAAAGATCCGATGGATACGCGACAATTTGTTACAAGAACGTCCAGAATTGTTTGTTAGTGGCGAAACAGTGTGCGGTTTATATGTCATCTTCATTCTTTATTCGATAATGGAAAAATCGCTGAGATAATATTCTTTATTTATTTTCATAGACGCCCAGGAATCCTAGTCCTAATAAATGACGCAGATTGGGAGCTGGAGGGTGAATTAAATTATGAAGTTAAAGAAGCTGATGATATAGTATTTATTTCGACACTTCATGGAGGATAGATAGATTAATCTCAATATTGTACTTGTAATACATTAAATAATTCCATGCCAAGTAGTAGTAGAAGAGGCTGTTGAGATCGCTAACTTTTCGGTCTCTTTTTGTGGTGTTTTTTCTATCAACTTTGTACAGGGTTGTCATTTGGCCGTGAGAATGATGTCAATAGAGCAGTTCCCTCTTTGTAATTCTCTTTATCTGTCTTATTGTATCGTACTTTATCCATCAAGAACCGCATCTTGCAAGAAAAATCCTGGTGTCTTATATGATGCTAATTGAATAGGCAATCTTCAGATCCATAAAGTTCATCAGGTAAATCGTACAATTAAATATTATACGAGAATCCCGAGTTAGTCAATAATTTGCATCCTGTCATCGTAATATTGGAACAAGTATTATCTTAGCCTCTTTAGTACTAAACAATAAATAAACTCATCGTTATGGAATTCACTTGGGTGTACACTGAGATCCCGTGACCTAAATCACATGATAATAAACTATCACACTCTTTTTCGTTAAACATGAGATATCACAATCATCAATAACTTTTGTCAATTTGAATGTCACCTTTAAATAGTAACTCTATCATCCGAATTTTAGCTTGTTACTGAAACCATTCTATTTTCAAATTGACTCTTTAATCATGAACCCTATCACGAATTAAATCCCAGGTACATGGTTAAAGTCATTTATGTCTGATAAAGTCAACTCATTTGGTGTAATAATCTGCAATGTACCAGTACAATTTTCACATGAACTGATCGAACAATTTAACGCCGAAAAAGATCAATTATGTGCAGATTTGGTGATCCCAGCATTCTAAATTTTAAAAACCGGTTCGCTGATCAATTGTCAGTGATATTTTAGATGAAAAAGACAAATTGCTCAATTTTGATCTAACAATAATAAAGATCACTTGGAATATTGTCAAAATTTTGAATTATGTGGTCCATAAAATTTAATAATAAAATCTAAATGTGTGGATAATACCTGCAATCGACACAATGATTATTGTATTATAGCCAACAAGTTTATTAATTTATTTAACGAAATTATATACATAGCGATCATTGGTTTAAGGCATAATATCATCTTTATTTCATCTATCTTAACAAGAAAATAGTAATAAAAGACATAGATAAAAAAATAGATATACCCTTATCGATGATTAACTGGAAGAATCGAGTTTCCTTCTCTTTTCAGGCCTTTCGATATCCAATAGTCTGGCATCTTTTTCCACGATCAAACTACGAAGCCACTTCACCTCCAATTCCAATTCTTTCACTTTACCTTCAAGCATCTCAGCCTTTGCAGTCATTTCTTTGGCAGTATGTTCAAGAGCTTGTTCTCGCATTTTCTTTTTAATCCGGAATCTAGCCGATGCAGCGGTATTACGTCTGCGTTTATCTTCTTCAGCGGCGAGTTTCGCTGCAGTATCAGAATCAATTGTTTTTTTGTTTTCCTCAGCATTATCATCTTTTTTATCTGTTTTTGATGTGGTGCTTGTGGCAGATGTGGTGGTTTTAGCGTTATCTTTTTCTTCGACTTTTTTATTGTCATCCAACTTTACGGTAGATTTCGCAGATTTCGATGATGTATCACTGCTATTGCTATTGGGAGCATCGGAAGTAGCAACCACTACTTTTTTATCTTGACGTTGTGATGTAGAACTAGACGATTTTGTAATTCCCGAGTTTTTACGATTTGACGAGGTGCTAGTAGTCGTAATTGGTGAGGGAGCAGGTGCAATTTTTTTTTCGGTAGTAGACGATGATTGCTTAGGCAAGATCATCTGATTACCAGTTCTGGTGGGAATGGTTGGCGTCTTGTTATGATTGTTGGTGTTGGTATTAGTGCTATTATTATTATTATTATTATTATTATTATTATTATTATTATTATTAGCTGTAGCTGAAATAACAGATGATGGTGGTGGCATAGGGGCAGGATAAATTATAGGGTAATTTGTAAGAGTGTTCCCGTGTGAGAGAATAGAAGCGGCAGACGAATTATTGTTATTATTGATATTATTAGTCGGTGTTGATGATGGAGCTATCGCTACTAATGATTGCATGTGCGTAACAACGGGATTGGTGGTTGTAAATGTGATATACTGAGGTAGTCCAGAAGTAAATACTTGAGGCAAAATTTCAAAATCTTGAAAACCATCAGTAGAACCTGACACCCCAGCACTCGTATTAACTCCCACCACGTTACTATTAACCACGTCATCATTTTTAAGTTTGGTCACCTTTGTGGAAACGTCAAAGTCGTCGTCTAGTAAGCCCATACCAGGTGGCACGTCAAATGTGAATTTTACGTTTCCCCACCAGTCCAGTTCGTCGGCCAATTCTGGGGTCATCTCTGCTGGTGGTGGATCTATGGACACCGTGTTTAGGTGAGAGATATTGTATGGTGAGAAAATATTATATTTATTATTATTATGTGAAGACATTTTTTTTTTGTTTAACGGATAACAAATAAGAGAGACAAGAACAGGTCTCTTCTAAAAAGAGATTAAAAAAATCTGTAAATAAAAAAAAATTAAAATATTTGTTATCGTTATGGAGAACGAAAAATAGTTGGTTCCGTCGAGATGTTTAAGAAAGTGATGACCATTATTTTCGGTAAGGTTTCGTCATCCTTGATTACTAATCTTATCTACATTATCTAAAGATATCCATATAAGGATAAAATATATATATCACTAACCATTTTTGTCACATCATGTTTTATTAAAAATTTTTTGGATTGATACACACGTATCACGAACAAAAAAATTTCAAAAAAAAAAATGTACTTGACTCACATAAAACATAAATTTTTTCGGCCGTTTTTTCAACGCGCAATTTCTTCGCCGGCTTTTACTACAATATTTGGGGATTTAGTGGCAAACGGAGGCAAAAACGGAGGCAAATAAGTTTTCCTATTTTACCTTTTGACTTTATTGACTTACAGAATAATAATATTAAAATTTATATAATATTTGTTATATTAGATAATAAATTAAATAATTAATTAATTATTCTATATAATACTTAAAAAGTAAGATAATTTATTCTTTAATATTTATTCATCTTTAGAGAAACGAATATCAAATGCTACAACCTCTTCAACAAAGACGCGTCCTTCTCATATCTTTAATATCAATAACAATAATACAACGCTAATTACTCGTTATTATGCTAGTGAGTCACAAAACAAGGATAAGCCAAATAAAAAGGAACTTAGGTCGCGAAGAGCGTTATTTTATGGTATATCTCTGTTCAAATATTTTTTTGGCTATTTTACTTTTGTATAACTTTCCTATTAAAAAAAAAATAGTACCAGGAAGCGAAGAACGAAAAGTTAATCGATCAAGAACCTCAAAAGCTGATTGTATAGTTTATGATCTAGAGGATGGTGTCGCGTTTAACAGAAAAGGAATCGCGAGGGAAATGGTGTTTGATACTTTAGAGGTGTGCATAAATCGAAGCTATTTATTGCTTGATAAATTATTAAATTTTTTTTTATTTAATTTTACTGAAGGCTTCTGAACCAGGAACATCAGAAAAAGCAGTTAGAATTAATGCTGTTGGTTCAGGTATTACTTTATTATTAGTATAAGTGTTTATCTTGACGTGTAAAGTATTTACTTTGATTATTATCTAAAAAATTTTGTAGGGCTTGATTTAGATGATTTGAATGTAGTTGTAGGTTGAAATATTTTCTCTCTTATTTTTTATTCTATAGTCTTTCCTCTATTAACGAATCCTTGTTATTATTATGATGTGATTATAAGCTTCGGTCAACACGTCTGCAAGCAATAGTGATTCCTAAAGTACAGACGCCCAAAGATATTCAGTTTGTGAGTCGAATGATTGATTCTGTGGCTACAGATGCGACGTAAGAAAGATCGATAAAAAGCAGCTGCCATTTCAAAAATAATGACAACATGCCAATAAGAACATAATCCGTTTATATAGGAAGACTACTATTCGTCTGATCGCATCAATTGAAAGTGCATTAGGAATAATGAATATCAAAGAAATTGCTACATCTGATCCTCGACTGGATGCTTTAATAGTGAGAACTTTTTTATTATTTTTTCTTTTTTTTATATTAATTTAATTGGAATATTTTTCCTATCTTTTTTGGTTACAGTTTGCCGCTGAAGATTATTGTGCGGATTTAGGTGAATATTTTTGATTTTTCTTATAGCTTTTTCTGGGTAATTATTTATCGATTTATATCTTTGGATCTCATTAGGGTTGATCCGTACTTCATCACGTAAAGAGGTGTCGTATAGCGAATAATCTATTCTTAATCATTATATTATATTATTATATTGTCCGCTAAAGTTTATTCTTTTATATCGTGACGTCAGCTTGCTTATGCACGTCAAGTCATAGTGACGGCTGCATGTGCATACGATTTACAAGCAATAGATCTGGTATTTTCTCGTTTCTTATTTCCCTGCGTCACAGTCCAGTCTAGTACGATTCACTCCAATTCGATCCAATTTGAAATAATTCAACTTGACTTCGAATTTAGTTCGAATTAGTTTCGTTTTTTATCATAAAAAAGTTCTTGAACAAATTCTAACAAATATTATCAATATTTAATCTATATCACCCAGGTTTGTCTCGATTATAATGATGACACAATCTTAACAGAAGAATGTCAAGAAGGGAAGGAAATGGGATTTGTTGGGAAGGTAAATCATTTATTGGATTATCCATTAAAGTTAAACAAAAATAATGGATAATGAAAATTGGATAATCGCGTAATAATAATAGCAAGCTATTCATCCACGTCAAGTTGATATAATACAACAAACATTTTTACCGGACGATAAAGGTTCTTCTTAACAGTTTTTCTGTTTTATAATAAATCATTTATTAAAAATTTTTAATTGAAAACTAATAGATGTCAACCGGGCGGCACGAATCATTCAAGGATTCAAACATCACACCGATAAAGGAATCGGTGCATTCAGTCTAGACGGAAAAATGTAATCTCCTATTTTTCAGTCTAATACATTTTTCTGTTTTCGTTATAATAATACGATCTTATTTAGGATTGATCTTCCAATGGTAAAATGGGCCGAAAAAATTATTGCGCGCGCTAAAGCTGGAGGAGTGACTATACCTACGCCGCCACCAATTGAGTAGACGAGAATGACAGAAAGAAGGGCTAATTCGAACATTATCATCTGATGACAACTGATATCAAACGATAGTCAAAAATGAAGTCTTGTAAAGAAAAGTTTTCTACAGTGCTAATTAAACAGCTTCGCTTTGTTGACTGCTACATTTCACTTATTTTCTTTTATTCTTAAAAGAATCATAATTATTTATAAAAACTACAAAAATTTTTAATTTCTCCTCTTCATGCAATAATGGGTACGTCAAAACTTTTTAATCAACATTGCTACTAAGCTTAACGTTAAGTTTTCAATGGATATGATGTTATCGATCAAGTTGTCCTAAATTGGTGGCATACATACTCAAAGAAATCGAAATCATGCTCAGTAATATCAGCCGAAATATCGTAATAAGGATCATTGGTATTGTTATAAAATGATTGGTCTTGTATAGCAAGAACATCCTCAGTTGTCGAATATTCCGCAGAGAAAGATGTCGAATAATCCGGTGGTGATGGATAGATTGTTTCGTGCGTAAAAGTATTTACATTTGTCGAATGCTTAGTTTGTGGTGTTTGCGGTTTACCGGGTGAATTCGTATTTGAAGTATCGTTGGTAACTCCGGGGGTATTGGAGGTCTCTAGTATTGAGATTGAGGATGTTGATCCGGGATTATCTTTTGCGTATCTTTGCTGTTGATTCTGATATTGATAAAGATTATGATGATGATGGGGATAATGATGACTACTATTTTGATGGTAAATTAACTTCGAATCAATATCAAGATAATTACTAAAATTCCACCATTCTGGGTAAACCAATCAAATCGTGAGATCAATGTGTAACGAAAAAATTCAGTGTAACAAAAAAAATGTTCCTGCGAAATTTACTATAAACCTAAGCTACCGATGTAACGACCCTAATCCTAAACCTAATCCTAAACCTAACCCTAATGCTATTAATATTTTATATCTTGCGATTTGATTGGTTTCACCCGCAAAAAGAATCACATGATCTGAAAAAATTGAAACTCTTAATTCAGTAAACTTACGAGGGTATCTCTATGTTATCTATATCCTTAAGCAAATCAATAATAGGCTTTGATTGCTCCATAAACCTGTAAAGAATAATTTCGATAGAATTATATTTAGAGAAAAGAAAAAAAATACAAAATATTTCATAAAATTGTTCTACCTTGCATGCAACTTCTCTGATCCCTTCAAATTATTTGCATTGTCATTTTGTTGTATCTCGGAATGACATACATCACACGCAAAGGTCATGTCGTCTTGTATCAGGAATTTTATATCTAGCTCGGCGAACCTCTTTCCACAGTTTAGGCAAAGAGAGCCTTCATTATTTGTTCCTATGATTTTTTTGAAACATCAAAAAAGTTAATGTATGAATATACTCCACTCCACTCACGCTCATACTCACACCTTGCATTTTCTCTTCAACCTTTTGACGGATCTGGTAAAGTTTCCATTTGGTTACCATTACAAATTGATGCCAATCGATATAATAATACGTCTTGGGAACTGGTCGTTGATCGGCCTTCTTTGTTTCCATTTTCGCGTGTCTTCGAGAAGTATCAATTTAATACAAAAAAATAATTATGGAAAAATATGCCCATAATAATTCCTACGTGTTTAACATTTCAGCTTCCTTCAAAGTTCCACATGATTCGTGAATTTCTTTAATCGTAAAACCTATAAATTTTTTGACGAGCTCTAACAAATTAAACCTTCCACACACAATCAATCCATGACGAAATCTTTTAATACTTAATAGACCTATTGACTTTGATAATTCTTCATCACTAATTCTAAAGATGGTTTATTAATTGTTTAGCTCAGTTAGGTTTTCTTTCAAAAAACGCACAAGTTCAAAGAACACGCCATACGAATCATGTTTGGTCAGCTCGTCCATTATTATTATATGCTGATTTTGAAAAAACGCACGAGACACACGTTTGACCAGAGAAACTAAAGGTTGCATGTTTATGGGTTCAGGTTCCTCCATTTTTTTTTGTACGGGTTATTTAAAACGGTGGTAGTGTTGAAATCGTGAATGCTAACACTAAAGATTTGGATATAGATCTATTTTTTTATTTAAGAATATGTTTTCTCTATTGCAATTGAGAAGTTTGGCGCTTTGTACCACAGAAGTTATTATTTATGTTCTTTCACGTTCATTATCTAAAAGGATGATATTAGGAATTGGTATAGATATTCTTCATACACCACGTTTTCTATCGCTGCTAAACAAAACTCCAAACTCGTGTGCGAAATTCGTGAACCGTATTCTGACTAGCAGCGAATTAAATGAATTTCCATATTATATAAATGGAAAATATATATATCATGATGATCGAGTGAATGAAAAAGTCTTGTCTTTTCTGGCTACCAGGTAAAATTAAAGATGAACTCTAACGTTAATTATTTAGAAAATTGGGAATTTAACTCTTAAAATGAAAAAAGATGGACGATAAAAGAAGCAACTTATAAAGCGTTATATCCACATTATCGATTAACTTGGAAAGATGTTTCTATTTTGAAAAGTGGAGGTTATTTTTTTATTTTATTATGTATTATTTTTGAAATATAGAATTAAATACAAAATAATCATTTTGTATTTAATTAAAAAGAAACAAAACCCTATCTCCTCTTTCACAATCCTGAAAAAATACCGGTTTCTTCAGAAATCAAAGCACATATCTCTGTAGCACATGATGGTGAATATGTAATTGCACAGAGTATATTGGAAATTTAAAAGTAGATTATTTTAATAAATTGAATCTTGCAAATACAACTACAATTAATATGTACAATAATAGTAAGTACATAATGAACCATTAAATTTATTAATAAATATAGTAAAATGCATAACTTTCGTTAAAATAAAAATAATAATCTATATAGTTTAACATATGTATATTTTTTTGAGAGTTGTTCTATTATATTTTATTAATAAATTATAAAGAATGAAAAATAAAAATACCATAAAAACAAAAATAAAAGAAAATCATTTAATAAGTATATTGTGTATTATAAAATTAATTATAATTTTACTTTTTAATTACTGATTAGTCTATAATTTAAAATATTAAATAACATCTTTACATTACATAGTGAACAATTTTGAGTATAAATTCCTTGCGCCATATAATATTTATTTCAGACAAATAAATTAATATTAACATTATAATACATTCATTTCTTCATTACTGCGTCCCACGCTAACTCTAGGAATTTCTCTGTAGATACTCCATTTAACCTTGCCATTCCATATATAGATTCGATAGCGCCAGAAATAAATTTTTGAATCTCATTATTTTGAACTTCTTTTTGCACAGATGAAGATGACAACAACGTCGACATATCAGTAGTAATAGAGGAGACTGTTGAGATCATTAACTTTTCGGTCTCTTTTTGGGGGATCTCTTGGTGTTGTATTCCCTCATCCTGCGCAGGATCGTCATTTGGCGGTGGAAATGATGTCAATAGAGTGGTTCCTATAGTACTCTCGTTATGTTTCTCTTCTTCATCATTTTCTTTCTTATCAAATCGTACTCTATTATGATTTGATACTGCTTCTAATCTGTTATCATTACATGATGAATTCTTGACATCAACATTTGAGATCTTCCCCGATGTGTGAATATCCTCAGAGCTTCTGTTCTCTTCCAGTAGTGATTCAGTCAAAATCTTGGAGGAAGTTGTTTTGAAGGTACTATAATTATTGCCCAAAGGTTGCCCATACTGATTCCAATAAGACTCCTCATCGTCATCATTTAATGCACGATTATTTTGCATATTGCTTTCTGATGAAGCTGCTGCAACGTCTTTATCATCAGAGGAATACTATGTCAATAATGAAATTAGAGATTTTTTTACTATGGAAGATAAATAAATATGTCTGTGTAAAAAAAAACGAGTGTCTTAATTGACCTGATTCCAATAATCGTCGTCCGATTCATCTCGTTCAGCAATATCAGAAAGATCGATTGTTTTGATCTTTGATATTATTATTATAATTATATGAATTTTATATTTCAAGAATATAATCAACAAAAAATATTTTAAATACAAAGTCGTATTTACCATGTTTGACATTTTATTTTGAAACGCTTGGTCGGCAAGATCTATTAACAATTCCCATCCCTCACTTAAATAACTCTCCCAATTCACCACTTCCTTCGTATTATAATACTTCCAATTCTTGCATTCTAATTTCTCCGGTTCCTTAGTTTGTTCTTGTCTTAGTTCTTGTGGCTCATCATATTGAATGTCTTCCTGCTTTTCTTCTTCCCATACTAATATTGCAACAAACTTTCGAATCCCCTTTCTTCCAAACTCCAACATTGCATGCAACGTCTCCTTATCCCACCTTTTATAATATATTGGTGCATCTTGCAACACGCTAGTTGAAGAATATGGGTCCCATTCGTGGAGCAAAAAGTCAGAAACACCGTCATTCTGCCATTGGAGATATGGTTCTAAATCTTCTTGTTGCATTAGTTCAAATGGTTGATTAGGTGCAAGAAAATGCACGCGTTGAACTAGCGGAAGCGCGGATAATGAGAGAAGGTTCGGATAATTACGTGCATATCGTGCAAGTAAAGCATTGTGTGCCGTTTTGCGAATTTCGAATTCGCTGGAATATGGAGTAGTAGCATTCATGTTTAATTGCAATGTTTTAATTGAAAATTTTAATTCGAGTCGAAGATCACAGATTAATAAATGAAAATTGGTAAATGAAATCCGTAAATGAAATTCCGTAAATGAAAATCCATAAACGAACAAAATTAATTTTTTCGTTATAAAATATGCCACCAAGTACACCACCTGGACCTCGTTCCTCGCGAAGTACCTCTCAACAACCAGATCCACTGGGTACTCCTTTATATCTCCATAGACCAGACGCGTATGTTACGCCAGGAAACTATGCCACACCACCACCTACCTTAAAATTATTTCCAAATCACTTAAAGAACAATAGCAGTGCGCATGCTTCTTCAACTAGTACTTCCGTGCGACAGCTAGCTTTTAGTTCTCCCTTTTTTAGTAGTAGAGATAGCGTGGGAAGTAGCGCATTCAGTAACTATAGCACTGAAACGAAAACAGAAGATCGAATGCGTTACTGGAGAAACGCCGCACTTCAATACCACATGTATGAGACTGCTGCTTTTTGGGGGAATAAATTGACCAGCATAACTGGTATCTCTTCGTTTTTTTACTAAATTGAGAATTCATGATCCTTATCGCGTGTAAAAAATACTAATTCTATTATAGGCAATCCTGATGATGTATATTGGCTGGCACAAATATATTTTATGATGGGACAATATGCCCGCGCGCATAGTTTGTTATGGAACTTACTCGAAATAAGTACCGCTTGTAGAATATTAGCAGCCGAGTGCAGTGTGAGTACAAAAAATAACCGAAAACTCGTAGTGACGCGTCTCGATCCTTTACTTAGCAAATTTTATAATTAATTTTAAATTGATGCTTTTTACGCTGCAGATTAAATTGGAAAAATATCAGGAAGTATTTGATATTTTATATGAAGAAAACCCGCCAGGTTTCTGGCTTTATTATTATTATTATTATTATCATTAATGATATCTTGGGTCTGAGCTAATCTTTTTTATTTCAAATTTCTATAGAAATTACCGAAAAAGCTAATAATCATCTAGATGGGTCAATAAAAGTTAGTAATGTCAAAAATATTATAATATCGCAAAAAACCTTCAATACTTAGTATCTATTGTTTTGTTTAATTAAACAAAGTTGGAAGCGTATATGTGTTATCTCCGTGGATATGCTTACGCACAACAAGCCAATTTGGATCAAGCGAAAAAAAATTATAAATTAGCAGTGGTCCTGGATGTCAGATGCTTTGAGGTATTTTCAAATGATTATTGTAAGAACATTTTATAATACGGGGTTTTCTAAGTTTAATTGAATTTACTTTTGTTTTAAAGGCTTTCAATGCTTTAATTTCTAATCATATGATGACGAGTAAAGAAGGTTTGGTTATTTGAACTTTACTAATTAGTATTGTAGGATTTCTGTAAGTTTAAACTAATTTAACGTATTTTACCTTTTAGAATGGGAATTTTTAAATTCACTCGAATTTGAAGAACAGTGCGGCAAGGAAGATGGTACGTTTATAAAAATGAATTATATGGCTATGCTGAAGAAGGTAGATACTTGATTTTTTATATAATAGCATCCTAAATCGATTATGTCAAGATAATAACAACCCATCTTGCAATAAAGTATGATCACGTTAAAGAGATTGAGGCGTCTAGAGAAGAACTCGAAAAAACATATTCATTGGTCGACAACGCTGATGTGATGCTAAGTAGAGCTGAGCAATTATATGCTCAATGCCAATTTAAAGATTGTCTAAACGTCACCACAAAGTATGTATAAAAAGAGCAATAAAAGTTAGGTAATCTTTGACTTTATTCAGATAAATAATGCATGTGAAATTTCCATATCTCAAAGAATTCTTGATATCGATACACACAATCAAGCATGTCTCCCGATACACATAGCATGTCTTCATGAGTTACGTGAAAAAAACAGATTGTTTTTATTATCTCATGAGCTTGTGGAACATTATCCGGACGCGGCAGTCACTTGGTTTAGTGTGGGCTGCTATTATTACTTAATTGGACAGAACGATGAAGCTCGGAAGTATTTCAGGTATTTGTTGTGTCAAGAAAATAAGGTCATTTTCTGTATAAAAAAATTATGAATAACTTATTTTCTCGTGAATTTGCTTAACATCTTTGGATGACTTATGCTTGTTCGATGATGACAATACAGCAAGGCTTCAACAATGGATTCACGGTGTGGGGCAGCATGGGTGGGATTTGGACATTCTTTCGCGGTGGAATCGGAGCATGATCAAGCTATTACTGCTTATTCGACTGCATCGAGATTGTTTCAAGGGTAATTAATACTAATGGCAATACTAAATTTCTTCTACTTTTAGAGAATAACTCTTGCGTTTTTTTTAATGATAGTTCCCACCTGCCGACATTATTCATAGGAATGCAACATCTACAAGCCAACAATTTCATTTCTGCAGAAGAATATCTGTTCACTTCGTATCAGATATGCACAGGCGATCCACTTGCACTTAATGAATTGGGCGTACTATATTATCATAAAAATCAGTAAGTGTAATTATCGTAATATCAAAAGAAACATTTCTTGTATAATTTGTTAATTTATTTATATATATATAATATAGGTATAAAGAGGCGATTGAATATTTTGAGCGCGCACTAAGTCTGGTTGTAGCCACTAAATCGCGTACACAAGTAAAGGAGACAACATGGATGAATCTTGGTCACGCTTATCGAAAAACGGGGTAAATATTTATTGAATTGCCTTGTTCTCGTAGAAAAATCTTGTTAACCATTTTTTCACTCGTTTATCTAGTAAGCTTGATATAGCAGAATCATATTTTCAAAAAGTTGCGGCGATTTCACCGCCAAATGCAAATGCACTATCTGCTATCGGTTACATTTATCACATCAAAGAGAATTACTCACAAGCCGCCATGTATTATCATGAGGTAAAATGACTTATCTTTGGTTTGTGCAAATTATTTTAAATTAATTCATTTCTCATCGTGTCTACAAAATAAAAAAAGGCACTCGGGATCAAACCATCTGATCTAATAACGCAGGATTTACTCGGTAAATGCCTGGAGAGCATGGTGAAAAGCAATCAATACTTGGTCAATTAGGCTTATTCCTATAATAAAAGACAATTTCACTAATCTGGAGTTTTGTTTTCTAGACTTGACGTTAATTTGTGAAAAATCGTGATAAAATAAAGCATTTATTACGCGGTTTTAATATTATTTATGAAGGAAAAAGAAATGAACTATTAAAAAAAGACTAATACACAGTTTGTAACTTATCTTTAGTGACAAGATCGCAATAAATAAAATAACAACGAGGCATTTTGAATTATCTTAAAAAAAACATGGTTTTCTAATTATAGCAATTATTTTATCATTTGAATTACATGTAAAAAAAAAATTGATGTATTTTACACATACTGATCATTTCTAAAGAATAATGAGTTATAAATATGCTTTTAAAATTTTTACCAAAATTTCTCGTTCTTTTAACTTCTATTCTCATGCTTTAACAGTCAGACCTTTTAACAAAATAAAACCTCGCACTCGCAACTATACCACAATTCCCTCGCGTGCACTTTCTTTTGACTTACGAGAGCTCTTCGAACAACCAAGAAACCTAGACTACGCGTCTAACTATCAGTTAATAACTGCATTCGACGCGGCAAAGGCAGATACTATACCAAAATGCTCCTTAATGCTCGTCCGAGACTTTATAGATAACTCATTGTATAACCCATATTATGGATATTTTTCTAAGGAGGCAGTGATATTCTCGCCGGAGAACTTTGACTTTAATAAAATCAAAGATAATTTGCAGTTCATGAGAATGTTGAGTAAAGCTTATGCAGCAGTTGAAAACGAGGTAGACGAGACTGATAAAGCTGCTAGACAGGTTTGGCATACGTCAACGGAATTATTTAAGGTAAGTCTTTATTCTCGGACAGGTTTGTTGGCTGGATATAGAATGACAAACGCGTTCAAATTCTTTTTAATTAATAGCCGTGGTATGGATACGCGATAGCTAAATATATCGTCGAAAAATATAAAGCAACTGAAAACCCACATCACGAACTGATAATATACGAAATGGGTGCGGGTAATGGAACATTAATGTTAAATATTCTTGATTATTTAAAACAATTTGAGTATTCAATATATCAGCAGACGCGATACAAGGTGATTGAAATTAGTACGAAATTTGCATTACAGCAAAAACAACAGCAGCAACAACATCAATTAATCCAAGGGAATAGTCAATTTCAAAAAGCGAGGCAAGTTCATCATGATTGCGTAGAAATTATCAATAAGAGTATCTTCGAATGGAACGAAATCGAATCGAATCCTTGTTTCTTTTTGGCATTTGAAGTTTTGGTGAGTATTCTTCTATGGATGCAAATCTCGAATACCCCCATTCGCCTAAAGATTAATGAAAACTGTACTGATGTAGGATAATTTTGCACACGATGCAATTTGCTACGATACTGAGACCGAAGAACCACAACAAGGAATAGTAATTACCGATGAAAAAGGAGAATACGAAGATGTATACGAGCCAGTGACAGATCCTCTTATTCTTCGTTACTTATCTACGCGTGAAAAAACATCCTATAAAACTCCCATCTTGCATAAATGGCGTACCCTTCGAAAATTACGTCATCGGATGCCATTTGCTCCTTCGTTATCGAAGCCAGAATTTCTACCCACCAAAGCTCTTTTATTCCTAGAAATCATTAATGAATATTTTCCGCGACATCGATTATTGATCTCGGATTTTTTCAAGTTACCTGATGCTATACCCGGAGTTGATGCGCCTGTGGTTCAGACACGGTTTGAGCGTACTATGGTTCCTTGTTCAACATATATGGTACAGCCTGGGTATTTTGATATTTTCTTTCCCACAAATTTTGAATTATTAAAGAGTATTTATCAAGTGCTACGTGACGATGGAAAAAGTGGTAGTCAGTCAGAAGAAATACAAGTATTTACTCAGAAAGATTTCCTAAAGAAATATGGTGACCTTGAAAGAACGCGGACAAGAAGTGGTGAAAATCCCATGTTACTATATTATGAGAATATAAAGTTTCTAATCACATGATAGAAAAACGACAATTGTGTGACTATAGGTATATTTCATTTCGAATCTTCAGAGGATCAGTAACAATTATCGATAGACTAAAAAGATCACTTTCGTGTATTTTTTGAGACACGTATAAATACAAGCACAGACTTTATCACATACATCTTCGTGCACTGATAAAATTAAATGAAATCGATTTGTAATATTGTTTTATAAACGTAAACTAACTTGATTTTTATGGTTTATTATCACGAAGAGAATTAATTATTTTAAAAAGAATAGCAGTAACGCTTACGATCAATAACGAGCACGAGGGGTTAAATTTGTCGGAATCTTTGCAGATTTCAGCGACTTGCATGACCCCAAGTTACCAGAGCAAATTAGTATTCTGGTAGCGCGATAAGCAAATGAGCTCTGTTCGTTTTGATCACACCAGTCGGTACCATGAATAAGTGCGGGGAGGAGGGAGTGAGAGCATCCCGTTACCCCCTACTTCCGGTGTTTGTTTGAAGGAGGCTTATGTGTTGTGTATTTGCTTTCAGCCTCATTGAGCGACAGGGATTATCGTTTAGTGAGTGCCGAACGAACTTTTGGCAGAAGTCAAGGTATTTTATTTCATCAAATTAATTTATACTATTAAATCATGAACATGAATTCTTTTAATAAATATTTTCGATTAGTGACCGTTCTTTTACTTGAATTAGTTAAATTTTTTACGAAATACTAAAGAATTACTCGAGGCCCTAATTGATAAATTAAAATTAGTAACGTTTTGAGTCAATATCGACTTTGTGCCACAGTAACGTAATAAATCAAGTTGAATCTCCGCTACTTTCCGGTTTACTTTACCCTAAACTACAAGCCCTCGACGAAGAATACTTGGTTGCAAAAAAGGTGTACATTTAATGGCAAAGATGTCTTCATCGAACGTGGATTCAGAAATTGAATTAGAAAAGCTAAAAATCTTACCTTCCTGCAACGAAGGAAATTTAGCTAATTATCAAGTCAGTTTTTTTGTTCACCCTTGGTTCTCTTAATGGACAAATACCAAAATTCGTGATCAAACGATTAGAAAAAGTACGGTTGGTAAACAATGCAATATTAATAATTAAATCTCTATTTGCTATTTATTTTACTGATTGTTATTTTTAATTAT